AGAGAAACGTTTTTTTTTTTCTTCTTTCTCATAATGGTAAAGTTAAAGAGACTGAACAGTGTGCGGAATGATAAAGAGTATACTATTATACATTATTGGTGTAAATAGTTTTGCAATTTAGTAACAAAGTGAAGTGAAGAAATTTTGTATTTTATAATTTATTAAGTTTCTATTAAAATTGTATAAAGTTATTCTTGGATAATATCGAGTAATTTCGAGGTGTGCAATGTAGATCGAAGTTTGCAAACATATTGGCGCTTCTTGTACAAATTTTTGGAATCATTACGAATGTTTAATAGTGCTGTAAAGTGCACTTGTGCCTCTCTAAGTACCTATCAATCTTGGTACAATGTTGCAAAGCCTCAGAGGTATTCTTGGAGTTTGCAATAACGTGGCAGGAATTCTTAAGCTTTTCTAGTAGCCATTGAACCGTGCAATACTACTCAGAAGCCTCCAAAACACGTGTTTGTAGTTTGCAACAAGTTCGAAGCCAGTTTTGAAGTTTGCTTTAGGGTATTTCTGCTGTAAAATAATATTACCGAATCTTCTGCAATCTTTCAAAATTTGGAACAACGTTGAACTGTACTGTGAACACTTTTAACACTCGCAAAACCCTCTTGGAATTTTACGAAGTTACGAAATTTATTAAAATTGTCTACCATACTGCTACGAAACTCGAACTTTCAATACTCTCTTAGAATTTTACGAAGTTGCAAAATTTGTGTTTTAGTAACATCACAAAAATGTTTAATACGTTTGTGAGGTTTGTCAGAATTGTCTACCGTATTTTCACGAGTTCCAAAAGATTCTCGATTATTGCAATAATCTTTTTTGTGGCATTCGATATTGAAACGTTCAATATCTGCACGAGAGAAACGAATTGCTCTATTATTCTCAAGAATTAGATTGTCATCTCGGTTTAAGCAATAACGATTCTGTTAACTAGCACATATGCAGGAAATTGGTTCGAAGTAAGCAGTGTTATTAATCCAGATATGCAATATAGAGTTTCGGAATATGCATGGCATTCGGGCAATCTTCAATTAAATAACTGGTAAATGGAAATGTAGCAGTGGATGTTTGTATTCATTGATATTTGTATTTACGTTGTCAATTGAAGGACTACAATTACAACCGTACAAATATACGACGAAACGTCGAAAAAATTTGTCTCGTTATTTATTGTACACAACACGTATGTACATTATTCGGCGCTTATACTAAATACAGGGTTGTTTTTTCTTTCGTCAATGTAATCTCTGTAAAATCTCTGCTGAATTGAAACGAACAGATTTTAATCGTACTTACATAGGTGGAGTATTAAGTTTAATTAGAGATTTTTGGTTGCAACGTGACATCGATTGCGTTTTGAAGCTTAACGAGATACCTGTCCGAATAAATCGAAATCGGGGTATTTCATTTGAAAGTATTCGCGATTAACGATGCTTTGAAAATTTTAACATGCGCATCTTTCATTTAAATGTTCGTATTAATGATAAAAGACAGAAATTCGTGCAAACGAGACTTTATACGGTTCATCGTTTGTACGAAACACCGCTGTTTCCTGTGTAAAATGTAAATTTGAAATATTTGACGAACTTAATTTTAACTTCAATTCAATATCGCGCAAGATTTCGTTGAAACGCCATTCTACGATCGAGTAATTAAGAGCTAAGATTACATTTACGTTCGTTTCGTTGTATACAATGTGGTATTTCCTATTCAATGGAAAATGTATTATACGCGTACAGTATCAGAGTGGAAACTTGACACAGATAGTTTTGCAGCAATGAATTGGGAAATGTAGGAGGTGAATGTCGATACGTGGAAGTTGAGGGTGTAAGCCGACGTGCACGAAACGTTATCGATACAAGTTGTACAATTACATGTTCTAACTTGTCCAC